TAACACCCCCCCTCAAGTTGGAGCATGCGGATTGCGAATGCCCAACTTGCCAAGAAAGAAATCAAATTCACGCTTCCCAAGCGCCTTGGTGAAGATGTCAGCGAGCTGTGCCCCAGAAGGAACATGAGTAGTAGAAATGAGATCCTGAAGAACAACATCTCGAAAAAAGTGGCAGTCCACCTCAATGTGCTTAGTGCGCTCGTGAAAAACCGGATTTGCCGCAATATGTAGTGCAGATTGACTGTCACAGTGTAACTGCATAGGCTGAGAGTGAGCAACACCAAGAGTAGATAATAGTCCACGTAACCACTTCAACTCGCACAATGTAGTAGCCATCGCACGATATTCAGCCTCAGCAGAAGAGCGTGCCACAGTAGGTTGTTTCTTGGTTCGCCAAGAAACAGGAGACTGACGCAGCTGAATAAATCAACCAGAAAGAGAACGCCGAGTGAGAGGGCAAGACGCCCAATCCGAATCACACTATGCATAGAGTTGAAGATCGCAGTCAGTACGAAGATGAATCCTCTGACCAGGAGAGCCTTCCAAATATCTAACCACACACAGAGCAGAGACCCAGTGAGCCTCACGTGGTTGATGCATAAATTGAGAGAGCATATGCACCGAGTAAGACAACTCAGGTCGAGTCACTGTCAGATAGATAAGACGTCCGACTAAACGACGATATCGCTCGGGATCAGACAATAGATCCCCCTCAGCAAGAGGGAGCTGATGATTCTGCTCTAATGGAAAATCAGCTGGCTTGCTCCCTAGTAGGCCGACCTCAGCTATGATGTCAAGAGCATACTTCCGCTGAAAACAACTACTCAAGTAACTCTTGAAGGCCGCAATGGATGTAGTATCATTTCCGAAAACAATCAGATCATCTACATAGACTAAGACATGCAGATGGACAGAACCACGATGCAGTGTAAAAAGAGAGTAGTCATGATAGGACTGACAAAAACCATACCGCTTCAAAGCCGTAGACAACTTGGCAAACCAGCAGCGGGGAGCCTGCCTCAAGCCATAGAGGGAACGACGAAGACGACAAACCTGCCCATTAACACCAGAGCGAAAACCAGGGGGAAACTTCATGTAAACCTCCTCATCCAAATCACCATGAAGAAAAGCATTGTGAACATCCATCTGGTGAACTTTCCAATGCTTAGCAGCAGCCACAGCTAAGAACAAACGAACTGTAACCATTTTGGGGACGGGAGCAAACGTCTCATGATAGTCAAGACCTTCCACCTGATTATTTCCCAAAATCACCAGACGCGCTTTATAGCGCTCAACGAAACCGTCAGACTTATGTTTGATCTTAAAGACCCACTTGCACCCAATCGCACGCTTCCCAGATGGAAGAGAAACTAAATCCCACGTGCCATTATTCTCCAAGGCACGAATCTCATCCTGCATAGCAGCTCGCCATCGAGGATCGTGCACGACCTCAGCAAAAGTGCGAGGCTCAACAGCGGAGACGACAGCAGCCAAAAAAAGATCTATGTGCTGGAGAGAATGAATAACAAGAAACATAATGTGCTCTTACCGGAGGATGGAGACGACTGAGGAGAAGCAATGGGGGGTACAGTCGAGAGTCGGACAGTGTCAACCACAAAATCCTTCAGGCGAGTGGAAGGCACCTTAGTCCGATGACCACGACCCAAGGGCTCCACCGAAAGAGTGGGAGGGGTAGTGGTAACAGAACCCCCCCCCCC